GTGTTCCCATATATCCCCTCCACTCCCAGCGCCTGCTGTGATGTCATTGTTTCTCTCCCTGTTGGGTCTTTACAAGCCTTTGTGTGGAAGCACAATTTTAAAATTCTTCATGTTCAATGAAAGAGAAGTAAATCATCTTGGACCTCTTTTTTCCTTTTTGGGTCACGCCCAGCGATGCACAGGGGTTACTCCTGATTCATGCACTCAGGAATTACTCCTGGAGGTGCTCAGGGGACCAAATGGGATGCTGGGAATCGAACCCAGGTCGGCTGTGTGCAAGGCAAATGCCCTACCCGCCGTGCTATCGCTCTGGTGCTGAGGATGAGAGTTTCTGCCTTGCACTTCCTGGGGTACCCGAGGCTTCTTCTCTCTCTCTCTCTCTCTTTTTTTTTTTTTTTGGCTTTTCGGGTCACACCTGGCGATGCTCAGGGGTTCTTCCTGGCTTTGCACTCAGGAATCACTCCTGGCAGTGCTCAGGGGACCATATGGGATGCTGGGAATCGAACCCGGGTGGGGCCGCGTGCAAGGCAAACGCCCTACCCGCTGTGCTCTCGTTCCAGCCCCATCTTGGGCCTCTTTACCACTCCTGGTTCCCTTTCAGGCACTTGACTGCCACTCACTGGTTTCGGAATCTCTGTCTGCGCCTGTCCCTCCCTTAGACACAGAGAGCCCCGGGATGAAGAAGCCAGACACTGGGCCCTGCCCTGGGGAACTTATATTGAGCAGTTAAGATTTGCTCGAGCGGGCCCAGTAACGTCTCCATTGGAGACTTTGTTATTACTGTGTCTGGCATCTCGAATACGTCACGGGGGGCTTGCCAGGCTCTGCCGTGCGGGCGAGATCCTCTCGGTAGCTTGCCGGGCTCTCCGAGAGGGGCGGAGGAATCGAACTCGGGTCGGCCATGTTAGCTGCATGCAAGCATGGGAACTAAATAAGACATGTCAAGAGTCCATTGGAGAGAGACCCAAGATAGGGGGAAATTGACCATTTTCAGCCGGGAGGAAGGGGAGGTGTGTGTGGACACATGCACACACTGTGTGAACATATACACACGCGTGGTGCATGATGTGTGTGAATGTCTGTGTCCATGGAGTGTGCACGGGTACCCATCTGTGTGCGCGTGTGCAGGTGTGTCTGTTTGCGTTTCTAGATTGTGCGTGGGCACCTGTATCTGTATTCATGTACATGCAAGCACGTGTGTGTCTACACATGTGTGTGCGCGCGTGTGTGTGTGTGTGTGTGTGTGTGTGTGTAAGTAGGTGCAGGCATATGTGTGGGAGTCAGAACTTCAGTGCGTGTCTCCAGGAAAGTGTCCTTGGGACAAAAATGTGAGGAATAGAAGGTGGGAGAAGGATCATCCCAATGTCACATATTCAACCAGGGCCCCAGGAAGGGACCAAATCGGGAGCCGAGCATGCTGGGAGTTGGAATTGCCGAAAAAAAGGCGGCTCTGGGTAGGGCAACGGAGCAAAGAGGAGACCGGGAGAAGAAGAGGCCGGGGAGGAGAGGCCAGGCCACTGTGAGGCCCGCAGGGCTGAGACAAGTGCTTCCCCCGAGTCTGGGGCTCTGGACAGCAGATGGGCAGAGTGACATGGACCAGGAGGCTCGAGAGACCCCTTGGGGTTGTCATGCAGAGAAAGATGAGGACCTTGCCGCCCCCCCAAAAGGTCAGAACTAGCATAGCCTTTGCCTTGTAGGAGAAAATGATTTTTCCTCCCCAAGAGCAGACTTGAGCAGACCTAGGAGGAAGCAAATCACCAGGTGGCCCCCGGCCGGGCAGGGAGAGGGCGACCCTGTTCCCATGACACACCTGCGTGCTGAGGTGAGGGATGAGTTCTGCCCCTGGACCATCCAGTGGCTGCCCTGAGGTCAGTACCTGACTCAGTGACTGGTTCCTTTGAAGATTAGAAGGCCAGAGAGCCAGATGAAATAACCGCCCATCTTGCTTCTGTCCATCTGCTTGGCTACGGAGAAGGATGGGAGACTGCGAAACTCATCCCATTTCCATGGCCCTCAGAGTGTAAATGAATGAAGGGGTTTCAGGGCCTTGAGGTTCCCAGACAGCCTTGTAAACCGTCCGTGCTGGGTCCCTGCCTGAGTGTGTTTTAGGTGTGTGACTAAAACCTGCAGTCTCCTGCCCCCGTGCCTTGCTGTCCTCGCCGGGGCCCCTTGGAGGGGAGCGGGTTGAGTTTCCCTCCCCACCCCGACCTGGGCTCCAGCAGCCAAAGACCTCCAGAACCAGCCACCACCATGCTGAGACCACTCTCCACACGCATGAAGGTACCAGCAGAGAAACAAAGGCATGCGGGTCCCGGGGCTGAGATCTCCAAGCCCTCTCAGATCGGGGCTGAGCATCCTCTACCCAGATCCTCCAAATTCCAAATGTGGCAGAGGTCACACCCATCAACCGGCCCCCCTGGCGCCGTGTAATCCCATCAGCAGCCAAGACCCAGAGACTATAAAACCCAGCTCCCAGAAGCACGGCCACATTCGCAGCTGTGCGACAACTTATTATCTCATTCTTACTTTGGACAAAATGGCAGGCTTCCAAATGTAACCTGCCCACACGGCAGAGTCTGACAAACTCCCCGTGGTGAACCCAATATGCCAAATACCAGTAACAATGATGGATCTCATTCTCCTAACCCTGGAAGAGCCTTTAATATGGCATGTTTTTTAAAAAATCTCAGGGCTAGGACAAAGGCGACTTTACTGGGGCCTGCTCCAGGCAATCAACGAACAACAGGATGGTCGTGATCGTGATCATGACTAAAACCTGAAAAAATCTGTTCTGGGGCTGGAGCGATAGCACAGTAGGTAGGGCATTTGCCTTGCACGCGGCCGACCCGGGTTCAATTCCCAGCATCCCATATGGTCCCCCGAGCACTTCCAGGAGTAATTCCTGAGGGCATGAGCCTGTCTCTGTTAGTCTCAGTCAAGGGCTTGTGGTCAGGTGACACCCTCTAGGCAAGCTGTGGAGCAGAGGGACCGGAAGTGGGGAGAGATGTTTTTTCTATGTTTTTTTTCCACTTCTGAAAAATTTATTTATTTCTTTATTGCCTTTTGGGTCACACCCAGCGATGCACAGGGGCTACACCTGGCTCTGCACTCAGAAATTACCCCTGGCAGTGCTCAAGAGACTATATGGGATGCTGGGAATTGAACCCAGGTCGGCCATGTGCAAGGCAAATGCCCTACCCGCTGTGCTATCACTCCGGCTCCTTCTGAATTAAAGATCTTATTGCTGTTACCTGCGGGCTTCCCGACAATGCCAAGGCATAGGCATGAAGCTAAAAACGCTTTGCATTCTTCCAGAAATGCTGTTTCGGGAACATTGTTGTGTCCACTGGCACTTGTGTGTCACAACAGTTCCAGACGCTTCCCTCAGTCTCTCTCACATTCAGAAACTAGAACTGACTGGGGAAGCCCTTGATTGGCTGCAACAAGCTTTGGTCCTTGCTAATCTCTGTTTCCAGGGTGCAGGCTAGCGCTTGGGGATACAGGGGGCACCCAGAGGGGTGAAGGAGGCTTCGGTGCTTCTTACCGTCTGACTTGGAGATGGCTTTGGGACTTCAGCCACATCTGGCTGGCCAGAGTAAGTCACGGGAACACGGCACCCTTAGACTGCCAAGACTTCTCCCCCGAGCATAGGGAGATAGGGATTATGCCCACCATCATCTAATCCCAAATTTCCTAATCTAAGATCATGATCCCGTAGGTTTTTGTAACTGAATATGGGGACCAGAAAAAAAATTAGCAACAGGGTTAGGGTTAGAGTTAGGGTTAGGGTTAGGGTTAGGGTTAAGATTAGGGTTAGGGTTAGGGTTCTGAAAGCCCAGAGACCAGAACTCGATTCAAAATCAACCCTGTCATATACCCAAAGCGTTCCTGGCATTTCTCAGGGATGAGTGGGTGAAAGTTTAAGATGCCCTGAAATGAACCACTATAATTTCATTTCAATCTGATTCCCCGAAATCACTTTGACGTAACTTCTGGGAGCTTTTTATGATCCTTTTAATGTCTTTATTATTGACATTTTTGACAATTCAGAAAAGCAGATGCAAAGTTCCTTCTTGTTTGGCCACCCAGAGATGGACACTATTACTATATTAATGAAAAGACATTCACAGTGGTAAAGTTCCAGTTCATTCCAGTGTAATGGGGATGAGGTGATGAGACAAGTGTTGGCTTGGCCCGAGGATTCTAACTTTGATTTTTGGAACAGTCAGATAGACAAATTCTCACTTTCTAGTCCCTCTGGACCTCCTAAAACTGTGTCACTGGAGGTTGGGGAGATGCCTGGTCATCTACCCCTAAAACCCAAGAGACTGGCTATGCACCTTTAAGATGTAACTAATAAGGTTCACAAAATCCAGTTTCTTTAAATGTTGAAATTGGACTGGTCAGCTGAAAAAAAAACCTCACTGCTTAGTCTTTTTTTTTTTCAAAGTCAACTTCACACTTTTAATTTATGAGAATTATAGATCATATTTTTCTAGGGAATGGTGATAAGATTTACAGAAATAAAATGCTGGGAAATTTCTGAAACTAGGATCCTTTCTTCCTTCCTTTCTTTCTTTTTTTTTATTAGTGAAACACCATGAGGTACAGTTGTAGACTTACAAACTTTCGTGCTTGGGTTTCAGTTATACAATGATCGAGTACCCATCCCTCCACCAGTGTCCATTCTCCACCACCAATGATCCCAGTAGCCCTTCCACCCCCAAACCCCATCCCCCCACGCCCCACCCTTGTGGCAGGGCATTCCCTTTTGCTCTCTCTTTCCTTTAGGGTGTTGTGGTTTGCAATAGAGGTATTGAGTGGCCATCATGTTCGGTCTATAGTCTACTTTCAGCCCGCATCTCCCATCCCAAGTGGATCCTCCAAACACCCTCTACTTGGTGTTCCCTTCTGTATCTGAGCTGCCTTTTCTCACTGCTCAGAGAAAAATCACATACTATAGAGAACTCATAGGAGGGTATCTTGGTAATTGTTAACTCAGCTGGGAAATCAGGAGACCCAGATATCCCCTGATCCCAAATCTGGAAGAACTTTGCAACTCTGTGGGACCAAATTCCTTGGAAACACATCCACAGATTCCAGGAGCTGCTGGTTTTAAGTGTTGCAGCAATGGTTAAAGATTTTCCAATACCACAGCAGGGGAGAAAATGAATCTAGAAACAATGTATTAAGTTGACAACTTAGGAAGAACTAAATTTGAGTCAACAGATGCCTTGTCCAATTTTAACGAAAGATAGAGCTGAACAAATCAAATCAGATGATAACGGTGACATTTTTAGCCCTGTTTTGGTATGTTGCCGTTATTGCGTTAAATAACACTCCTTTTAAAAACTATCTTTGGTTGAAGTGACTGCACTGAGAAGATGAAGCCATTGGAGGGTGTGGAAGACAGTATTTATTTTCAGAAGAACAATGTAGCCAACCAAACTCTTCAGATCCTTCAGCTTATATAGTGTCATAGACTTCAGAGAACCTTAAATTGCAACACGGACTGAAGAATTTTCTCCTTACTATAGGACCTATAATCCGCCGTTAAAAGACTAGCTGTTTCTTTCCTTTTCCAGAAAGGAAAAATGACAATTTTGACAACAAACGGGTTTTGAAGGAAGCCTAACAAAGTCGCCTACGGCAGAAGCTGGTGCTTTCAACACAAACAACCTATGGAGAACTTTCCTGGTCTTTCCCTCTCCAAGTCCCAGGAGGAGGCAAGTTGGGGATGGTGGCGGGGGCAGGGGGCAGCTCCCAGTCCTGCCCGGGAGGCCTTGGGGAGACCCAGCCAGCTCCTGCGCTCTGACTGTCTCCTCTGCCTGAGCCACAGGTGGGAAATTCTGTAAGGGAAAACAGAACCAGGATGAAAACAGTCCAGCCTGGGCTGGGGGAGAGGGGCGGGAGCACCATCCCCTTCCTTGGGGAAGTTGAGGCCGACTTCCTCTGGGTGCAGGGATCCCTGACCACTCGGAAAGTGACTTTCCAGCCGGTAACTGCATCACCCGGGAAACCTGGGGCCTCAGTTCCCTTTACGTACTCAGTTTCTGTCTGACACATCCCTGGGGGAGCTGAGTGACCAGGACCACCAACCACTGACCACCACCCTCCACCCCCGAGTCTGACCAGTGGGATGGAACCAGCTGAAGTTGCTCCTGAAGGGAAATGGGGGTCAAGTCCCCGCCACAACACACACACACACACACAGAGGACACATACACAGTATACACATAGGATACACACATAGGAAACACATAAGGATACATACACAAGACACACAACACATAGGATACACACAGGACACACACACAGGACACACACACAGGACACACACACATAGGACACACAGGAAACACACACAGAGGACACACACACAGGACACACACAGAACACACACACACAGGACACACACACAGGACACACACACAGGACACACACACTAAACACACACAGAGGACACACACACAGAGGACACACACACTGAACACACACAGAACACACACACAGAGGACACACATACACAGGACACACACACTGAACACACACAGAGGACACACACACAGAGGACACACATACACAGGACACACACACTGAACACACACAGAGGACACACACACAGAGGACACACAAACAGAGGACACACACACACACACAGGCTCATAATCAGTCCCCTTGGACAGATGTGGAAACCTTGCTGGAGAGAGTCGCTCCTTGTCCACACCCAACTCACTCCTGCAGAGCCCGCTGGCGCCCCCTGGTGGACCTGCATCTCCGTGCGCACAGCTCTGAATTCCATTCACCTCCCTCCTGACAGCATTGAGAACTGCAGAACGGAGTTCATTCCACTCAGCCACTGAACTCGTGTGCTCTGAGGACACCAGCCGGGACCCCGAGAGACGCCCTCATGGTAAGGAGATGTGCACTCAGAGGGGAAACTGAGGCAGAGAGGCAGCTCCTCAGAACCCTTAGTGCGTGGCACCCAGGTGACATCTTTGGGGGTCGCAGACCTCCATCCCTCTCACTCCCGCACCAACCCCCCTGCGGGGCTGCTGTGTTCTCTGGATGCAGGTGCTGGGGGTCCCGCTGGGGCCCGGGTGGGTCCACCATCTTCCCTCAGACGACTCCTCAGGGGCCTGCTGAGGCCTCGATGCGGTGGTACTGGACGCTGGCCGGGCTCAGGCCAAGCCTGTCAGAGAGAGTGAGGTCAGAGGTGGCAGGGGTCTCCTGAGGGAACGGGGAGGGCCAGCCTCTACCACCCCACTTCACCCCTGCCCCTCCGTCCTGCTTCCTGTCTAACCCAGCTTCCATCTTCCCTCCCCTGCAAAACCCAGCAGCCCCTCCCCGGCCTCTGCCAGGGGTCTCCCGACACCTCCTCGGACCCCCCCCCCACCACCACTCTGGCCTTTCTAACCCTGAAAGTCAACTTCTGGGGGCTGGAGTGAAAGCACAACAAATAGGGTGTTTGCCTTGCTCACAGGCGACCTGGGTTCGATTCCCAGCATCCCATAGGGTCCCCCGAGCACCACCAGGAGTAATTCCTGAGTGCAGAGCCAGGAGGAACCCCTGAGCATCATTGGGTGTGACCCAAAAACCTCTAAAAAAAAGGAAAGAAAAGAAAACCAGTTGCCGGCCATTGCCCTGCTCCCACAGAGCCCCTGGCTGGCTCAGCGTGACCTGCACTCTGTCACTTCTCCCACCCACCCTTGGGTGTCTCTCTTCAGCATCCCCCCTGCACCCACTACCCCTCCCGGGAGCCAGGCTCCTGCTCATCACAGCCTCCTCAGGGGCCTGTCAGTCCTCAGGGTCCCGTGGGTCCCGTGGGGCCACAGGCAGGCGGAGGAAGCAGAGACTTGGATGTATTTCCCACGGCCCTGAGGGCTTCGGGAGAAACGGGGTTAGGGCCTTGAACCCTGGGCCCAGCCAGGAAATCTGCAGCCCACTCCCCCACCCCCACCCCCCACACTGTTCGCTTCCTGTTGGGCATGTCTGCTGCCTTCTCCTCACTCTGGGTCTCTGCGGGTCACAGCTGATGATGTGCTTTGTGGTCTGTTTTGCTCCCTTCCCTGAGAATTGCCAAATGCACTGGAGAGAGACAGACAACAGACAGAGGGAGAGAAAGAGAAAGAGAGAGAAGGAGGAAGAGGAGGAAGAGAGGGAGAGAGAGAGAGAGAGAGAGAGAGAGAGAGAGAGAGAGAGACTCTTGTCCCCCGAGCACTGCCAGGAGTGAGTCCTGAGAGCAGAGCCCCTCCCCACCCCCTCCCCTCTGGTTTTGGGCCTCCCCCGGAGGTGCTGGAGGCTTACTCCTGGCTCTGCACTCAGGGATCATCCTGATGAGCTCGGGGGCCCTTACGTAGTTCCGGGGACTCAGCCCCCCGTGCAGTGCCCGCGCCTGCCCGCTGTGCTGCAGCTCCGGCCCGGCCCAGGAACGGTCTCCCACGCCTAAGTGACCAGCGAGACCCACCACGGAGCCAGACAGCAGCACGCAGGGGGACGCGGCCAGTCCCGACCCTTGGTGGCGAATGGCTCCCTACGAGTCTCGGTCAGACCCAGAGAGGCAGGACCCCAGGGGCTGGAGCAGCTGGAGGACGCGAAGGGACAGAAGCGCCCGCGTGAGACCCGGAGAATGACAGCTTAACCCAGCACACGGGCTCCCTGTTCCCGGGAGCAGGAGGTCTCTGTTACAATTGGCCTTAAGGACAGTCAATCAAGGCGCCTTGCCCTATCACGGCCAAGTCGGGGGTAGGGGGTGGGCCCATAAAGCAGGCTTGGCCAATCAGATTTTTTCCTGGGAATATGCCCCCAGCTGCCCCCCACACCGCTTCTGGAACCCGACATCTAGGCTCTCCAGTCCTTCAGATCTGTCTCCTACAGAATGCGGCTGGTGCCGAGGGCCTGCAGAAGGCATCTGGCCTGGGGTGGGGTGATCCAGGTCAGAGGTTCTCCCCCGATGGGGTCTGTATTCCTCGGGTTAAGGAGAGGGACCCTCAGCAGGGAGCCAGGATGTGGGGCAAATTCCAACCCAACACCAGAGTGATTTCTGCAGTCTCTCAGGGGCCCTCAGGAACAGAATAGCAGTAGGAGCAAGTGACTCCCCTTTACTTTCAGGGGCTAATGGGAGCACTCATCAAGGAGGCTAGGATTAAAGTGCTTCCAGGTCCCTCTGATCACTCTGGTCTTCTCTGGATAATGCGAGGTACCAAGATGTCAGGGTTCCACACTTCGCTCTGGGACTTAGATATCTGGTGGTACACATGTGCTGCTTCTACACAATCACTGATCTCACATCTACCCTCCTCCTGCCCACCCCCTCCAGCCACACTGGCTTCCTGCTTTTCCTTGCAGAAGCAAAATATACTGCCGACCTCAGGGCCTTTGCACTTGCTATTTCTTCTCTCCTCCTTTCCACAGCTGCCACCTACTTACTACTTCTGCTGCACCTTCTCAGAGATGTCTTCTCTCTCTACCACCCAACCACCCCCCCTCACCTCCGACTTAGCCAGCCTAAGACATGCACCCTCCACGTTAGCACACCCTCCTGCCCCTCGGCCCATCTCCCCTCCAGCTGGCTCCTCACAACATCTTTTCATTTGCTTCCGACTACATATCATGAACTGCAAATGTGTTGGTGACACATGCATTGCCTTATTTATCTGAGGGGCCCCCAGACCCAGCTAGGACAAGGACCCTTTCCACATTGACCACATTTCGCAAGGCCCAGAATCTTCTTGGCACACAGCAGGGACCTTCTGAAAGAGCGACTTGTCTAGATCTTTGAGTGTGATTTTTTTTCTTTTTTTTTTGGGGTCACACCCGGCGATGCATAGGGGTTACTCCTAGCTCCGCACTCAGGAATTACTCCTGGTGGTGCTCAGGGGACCATATGGGATGCTGGGAACTGAACCCAGGTCAGCCTCGTGCAAGGCAAACGCCCTACCCGCTATACTATCACTCCAGCCCCCTGAGTGTGATTTTTATAAAGGTCACAGTTGGAATGTTTTGTTTCTCCAAGCTTCCATGACCCTAAGGTTCTGTGGTTTGGGGGTTCTCTCATTATTCCCTCATTCCATGGCTTGAATGTTCCTCTGAGCTGGGCTTACAACCCAAGGAAACTGCAGTAAGAGACATGAACAGTGCAGGAAGGAGCGCTTTGTGGCCTTCAGTCCCAGCTTGTTATGTTTTTTTTATATGTTTTCCAATAATGAATTAATGTTTTGTTTATATAGAGAGTGTTCTATGTCTATTCAGGTAATTTTTTACAACCAAAGAAATTTTTATGATAATATTTTGCATTTTGAGGCAGATACTTAAGCCTTATCTATAATAAATTGTTTTCCAATATAAGGCAGATTATTCCATTTTTTAGGATAAAATACACTTTTATCCTTTAATCTAATACTCATAGATTTCCTTAATTAAAAAATAAATCTCCTCTCCTCCCTCATTAAATTATCTAGTTGTTGGATTTATCTATTTCATGTAATTTTTTTAAGTACGAGCATCCAACTAGCCATATTGTTCATTTTAATGTATGGACCTGTACAAAATGAAAGATACACATTTAAAAAAATTTTATCAGCTTATCACTGATTTAAAATTTTGTGGAATTTTAGTTAGAGAGAAGGTGGAGAGGCAGAGATGGAAGACAGACCTGGGCCCAGAAGGCTGGGCAGTAAAAGACGAATGATTAAGGACAAGTGTCCTATAGAAAAATATACACTAAAAGTGGGGCTGGAGTGATAGCACAGCGGGTAGGGCGTTTGCCTTGCACGCAGCCAACATGACTGACACAGGTTCGATTCCCAGCACCCTATATGGTCCCCTGAGCACCGCCAGGAGCAATTCCTGAGTGCATGAGCCAGGGGTAACCCCTGAGCATCGCCGGGTGTGACCCAAAAAGCAAAAAACAAAAAAAGTACCCAGGCATTCCCCCAGGTACACCCCAAAGGCCTCCTTTACCTTCTCCTCTGGAACTGCTTGTCTATCTCTGCCAACGACAAGCCCTTTGTTTCAGGGACGAACCAATAGATGAAGCCAAGGCCGAGGACTGCGGTCAGCCCATAGAGCAGGAAGGTCCAGGACAAGCCAATGGTGCCTGGGAACAGGAGACACGAGCACTGACCACACGCAGAGTCCCCAGAGGGCCAGTGTCCAATGACCAGCAGCAGGCTGGCCGGCAGTAGTATCAGCCACAGTGGGTGGAAAGGGCTGGATCCCCAAACACACACACACACACACACACACACACACACACGGAATGCCCAGGGACCGACATCTACAGCACAAGCAGTGGATGTGAACCACAACCCAGAGAAATCAAATCCAACCAGGCTAACCCAGAGTGCTGTTTGGCAAAACCCAGCTCAGAATTTTTTTTTTTTTTTTTTAAGCAAGGAACTGCTTCAAGTAAGAAGCGTGAATTAGTGAACTGTGTGTCCACGGGGCTGAGGGATGGCCTAACTTGCCAGTGGCTGTGGCAGGGAACAAGACCTGCCCCTTAGCACCCCACCCTTCTTTTTTCCTGGGGCCTGGCATGCGGGGCCAAGGTCGACAAATGAGCACCAATGGAAAGTTCTGCTCTAGAGCCAGCCTGTTACACTGAGGTCTCCAAGACCCCCGACCCCCCAGGCCTGTGCAGCGTTTGCTCCCCTTCTCGGCCACACCAAGCGGAGAACCTGCAGACACCAGCAGGTTGGAGCAATTCCCTCCCTCCCGTCTCTTTCTGCCAAGGAGGCATGTCAATCAAACAGGCAGGGAAGGATGATGGTGGAATGAGCCTCACAGCTCCTATCTTCTGTTATCTTTGTCTCCCCACCCCTAAGCCCCCCATTTCTGGTATCAGTCCCCCCTGATTTCCCATTCAGAAGCCCCGCCCTCCTACACTCTGGCCCCTAGGGTGGGTGGTAAGTGATGCTTGGGGGCTTGGCGACGGGAGACCCGCCCTCCAGCCGCAGTGATTGGGTCAGAGATGGTCATGTGACCCCGCTGAGCCAATGAGGGCCCGCCCTGGCTCAGAGGCCAGAGGAGGCTGTCACGACCCAGTTCTGCCAAGAATGAGGCCCGCCAGGTCATGGGCAGAGCCGAGACGAGGAAGGATGAACAGCAGTAGGACCGAAGTCTCCGTATCAGCCAGGCCAGAGGCCTGCCACTGTCTTTTCTGTGATTGAAAAAGAGATGTTCCGGGCCAGATTGATAGTACAGCGGGTAGGACGTTTGCCTTGCACGTGGCCCACCCGGCTTCAATCCCTGGCATCCCATATGGTCCCCTGAGCACCGCCAGGAGTAATTCCTGAGCATCGCTGGGTGTGACCCAAAAAGCAAAAGAAAAAAGAAAAGAAAAAGATGTTCACCGCAGTTCATGAGCCCTTGAGAATACGCAGGAGGGACCAGGCCAGGAGCGAGGCTCACTCACCCATGAGGTCGAGGAAGGAGAGGCTGATGAAGAGGTTGGCGGCCCAGTTGAAGCTGTTGCAGAAGGCGAAGGCCCTCCCTCGGATCTGCGCCGGGTAGATCTCACTGAGGACCAGCCAGGTCACTGGGACAAGAGAGCAGAGCTGTGGCAGAGGGGACCCCTCCCCCTTCCCCATGAACAGCAGCCTGGCACTTGGGCAGGCTGCCCCCACCCCAGCATGACGTCATGTCCTACACTTAATGCTCCCCCATCACTCCTCATTCAGTTCCCAGGCTCTGCAGGTGCTCCCGCAGCTCATTCAACTCAAGTCAACCCGGGGTGGGCTCATTAGCGAGAGACATGCTGGGTGAAGTAAGAAACCTAAATGATTTGGGGGGCAGTACCAGCAAGCTACTGAGGGTATCCCGCCCGCATGGCAGAGCCTGGCAAGCTCCCCGTGGCGTATTCGATACGCCAAAAACAGTAACAATAATGGGCCTCAATTCCCTGACCCTGAAAGAGCCTCAAATACGGCAGTGTTGGGAAGGACGAGTAAGGAGAGGCTGCTAAAATCTCAGGGCTGGGATGAATGGAGACATTACTGCCCCCGCTTGAGCAAATCGATGAACAACAGGATGACAGTGACAGTGATAGAGTGATCTATTTATTTACTTTTGGCTTTTGGGGTCACACCTGGCGGTGGCCAGGCATTACTACTGAATCTGCACTCAGGAATTACTCCAGCTGTGCACAGAGGGATCGTATGGGATTCCGGGGATCGAACCTGGGTGGGCCAAATGCCCTCCCCGTTATCACTTCGGCTCTGGGACGGTCTTGATAGGAAAAAAGATCACAAGCATGAAGGAGGCCCCCAGCCCCAGAAGGAGAAGCCCTGAGGACCAGACGTGCTCAGACGCCCTCCACCACTGCCATGGTCCCCCTCCCCCACCCCCAGCCTCCCACCGGAAGAGAGAGGGGCCTCACTCACCTGGTCCGAATCCAAAGGAGAAAGCGCTCACGAAGACCATCATGCAGACCAGCGCTGTCCAGGGCAGCAGGGCATGCACTGAGGCTGGAGAAGGGGGTGTCTGGGAGGCGGTGTCCAGGGCTGCTGGGGGTGACAGGGTGGGGTCCCAGGCCCTGGGGCGAGGCTGGCTTTTCTCCGTGGCTGATGTTCCCAGCTCCCCTTGCTTCTCACGTGCGGTTGGCAGCGGAGATGCCGAGAGGCCCCTGGCCAGGTCAGAGCCTCCAGGGAGGCCTGACGATCCGGTGGCGTTGGGCACGGCCAGGCAACTCGGGCCCGCGTCCATGGGCAGAGCAAAGCTGACCAGGCCTATGCCACTGACCGACAGGGCCATGAGGGCACAACCGGTCAGCAGCAAGGCCCGGCGGCCCGCTCGGTCCACCAGTCCCATGGCGGCCAGAGTTGCCACGACTTTCACTGCACCGAGCCCCACGGAGGCCAACACCGCTGAGGACCCCCCGTGGAAGCCGACTGCGTGGAAGATGGTGGAGGCATAGTACAGCACGTTGGGCTGTCCCGTGAGCTGCTGGAACAACACCAGCCCCAGCCCCACAGTGGTCCGGCCTCGCATGTTCTCCCGCGCCCGGAAGAGGTCCAGAAAGGAGTAGCTGGGCTGGCCCTGCCCCAACCTGGTGGCCTCTTCGTCCTGGAGGGGGATGAGGTCCCTGTGGGCTGCAGCTTCCCCCGTCCTGGCTGGCAGCAAGAGGAGGCCGAGGGATTGCAAGAGGGCAGGCGCGACGGACCAGCCAAGCATGTGTCTCCACCCCCGGGCGGCACCAGCCAGCGCGTAGTTGAGTGCATAGGACAGCAGGACGCCCAGGGTGATGCCAGCCTCGTAGAGTGACACCAGCACACCCCGCTGCCGGGCTCCCACAAGCTCCGACAGGTAGATGCAGCAGGCCATGGAGGATAGGGAGATGGCAAAGCCGGCCACCGTGCGGCCGACCATCAGCCAGGCCAGGGAGCCAGCGAGGCCCATGCTCAGGCTGCCAGCCAACAGCACCAGGTTGCTCCCGAGGATGGCCTGCTTCCGGCCATAGCGGTCAATGAGGAAGCCCCCGCCCAGGGAGGCGACGAGAGCCCCCCAGACCAGGCTGCCCACCAGGAGCTCCTGCTGCAGGCAGCTCAGCCCGAAGTCCAGCTGCAGGGGCAGGAGGGCCCCTGAGATGACTGCCAGGTCATACCCAAACGTCAGCCCCCCCAGCAGAGACACAGATGCAGACAGGGGCAGAAGTGGTGGGGAGTGGCCTGGAAAAGAAGAGATGGGGAAAGACTCAGAGCGGGTCCTGGCTGGACTGCCCGTCCATTCAACCTCCCATCCACCCATTCACCAGTCCACCTTTCATCCACCCATCCAATCATACACCCATTCTTCATCCACCATCCAGCTATCATTCCACCCATCCATCCTCCCATCCACTAATTCGTCATCCATCCATCCACCACTCCCGTCCTCCCATCCATCCATCCATCCATCCATCCATCCATCTATCATCGATCCATCATCCATCATCCATCCATCCATCTTCCCTTCCATCATCTATCCATCCATCCATCTGTTCAATCACACATCCATCCATCCAGTCATCCATCTATCCAATCATCCATCCATCCATCCTCTCATTCATCATCCATCTATCCTTCCACCCACCAATCTTCCCATCCACCCAATGATTCATCATCCATCCATCCACCAATCCCATTCTCCCATCCATCTATCACTCATCATCCAACCACACATCCATCATCCATCCAATCATCCATCATCCTCCCATCCATCATCCATCCATCCATCCATCCATCCATCAAATCACCCATCCATCCATCCATCAAATCACCCATCCATCCATCCATCATTTACCATCTACCATCCATATACCTACTCTTTCCTCACCATGTCTTCCTCCATCCCTTCACCCAGTCATTTACTTCACCCATCCATCCATCCATCCATCCATCCATCCATCCATCCATCATTTATCCACAAGTCCCAGGCCCTGAGCAGCAAGAACAGCTTTGCTACCTGGGCCGGGGATGTGACCTCACTAAATGGAGGTTGCCTTGCAGCAATCCAGAACCATTCTCCCCTCAACCCCACCCCCAAGAGATTCCTGAGGGTACAAGGACACCCCCCCCCGTGCCACCCCACATCCAAGACACTGTGCTCCAAGTCATGGATGCTTATTTAGGGATCCTTTTCTCACTGACATGCAGCTGCACTTTTTTTTTTTTTTTAAGAAATTGCTTTATCCAACCTGAGTGTCCGAGGACAGATGACTGGTTAAAGAAACTCCATCTACACAATGGAGTACTATGTAGCTGTTAGAAAAGATGAAGTCAGGAAATTTACATACAAGTAGTACTACATGGAAAGTATCACTGTCACTGTCACTGTCCTCCTGTTGTTCATCAATTTGCGCGAGCGGGCCTAGTAACGTCTCCATCGTGAGACTTGTTACTGTGTTTGGCAGATTGAATATGTCACGGGTAGCTTGCCAGGTTTTGCTGTGCAGGTGAGATACTCTTGGTAGCTTTCCAGGCTCTCCGAAAGGGGCAGAGAAATCGAACCCGGCTCAGCTGGGCCAGCTGAGCGCAAGGCGAATGCCATACCGCTGTGCTATCGCTCCAGCCCATGGAGAGTATCATGCTAAGTGAAATGAGTCAGAAAGAGAGGGACAGACATAGAAAGACTGCATTCATCTGGGGAACATAAAGTAACAAAATAGGAGACTAACACCCAAGAATAGCCGAGATAAGTACCAGGAGGTTCACTCCATGGCTTGGAGGCCAGCCGCACACGCTAGGGGAAAAGGCAGCTCAGATAGAGAAGGGAGCACCAAATAAAGGGTGTGGGGAGGATCCTCCCAGGATGGGAGATGCATGCTGAAAGTAGACTATGGACCAAACATGTCTGCCACTCAATGCCTCTTTTGCGCACCTAAAAGGAGAGAGAGAACAAAAGGAAATGCCCTGTCACAGAGACAGGGTGGGATGGGGGGATGAGGGGGTGGGAGGGATACTGGGATCAGTGGGGGTGGAGAATGGGCACTGGTGGAAGGATGGGTGCTTGATCATTATATAACTGAAACCCAAGCCCAAAAATTTGTAAGTCTACAACTGTACCTCATGGTGTTTCACTAATAAAAATTTATAAAAAAAGAAAAAGAAAGAAAGAAATCACTTTATTCCCTTTCCTATTTGCCATTCTTGCTTTGACAACCTGGCAGGCTACCGAGTGTAGCCTGTCCATGCCGCAGAGTCTGGCAAACTCCCCGTGGCGTACCCAATATACCAAATACCAGTAACAATGATGGGTCTCATTCTCCTAACCCTGAAAGAGCCTTGAATGTCGCACTTTTTACAATCTCAGGGCTAGGACGAAGGAGACGTTACTGGGGCCTGCTCGAGGCAATCGACGAACAACAGGATGATCGTGATCGTGATCGTGACTTATTTGCCATTGGCTGATGGGGATTTGCACACCGGCTTGGCTGTGGTGCTCGCACATTTCAGCTATGGTACCCGCCAGCACACACTGAGATTTGTCCTCTCCTAGCTGCAGTGCTTTCAAGTGCTCATGAAAGGCTCACTCTTGCTGAGGCCAGAAAACCCTCAAAGGGGCAGAGATTGCAGATAACAGAGCTGCCAGAATGACACAAGTGGCACGTGAGAGCACTGGGGATTAAACCCATCACCGCACACTTGCAGGTGCTCTAAGCCCCTGAGATATTCTCCCACGCCTGCGCACACCCCTTCCTCAACTCTCAAGTGGCATTTCTCACTAGCGAACAGTTCTGCCTTCTCGCCCCATCTGCTCACACATGGACGTGGGTTCTTGTTAAGCCGAGCAGGACAAGGACCCAGTGGCCTCAGCCCCAGCCTGACCACCGAGAAGGCCTCCAGGAGGCACCTGCCACATGAGCCAACACTGGGGCCTGGGCAGTTTGACCTCAAGGCAAAGTGCCTGGCACACTGCCGTGAAAGTAAGCACTCAGTAGACAGTCACTGAGTCAACAGATGATAAGATAAATAAACTCTGGGTGTATTGAGATCCAGAGAGCTTGGCTTATGAGCTCCTGGGGACGTTCGGGGCCTGGAAACGACCATGGATAAGAAGCAGCTTGAGTTTGGCCCAGCCCAAGGTTGGTCAGGTTCTCCTTCCATCACAGTTTTTTGGAAAGTATCATGCTAAGTGAAATGAGTCAGAAAGAGTTTAGCTTCCTCCCTTCTCCATGGCCCACCAAGCCCAAGAAGGATTCTCGGAGGTTAGAAAAGGCTAAAGGGGCTGGAGCGATAGCACAGTGGGAAGGGGCGTTTGCCTTGCACGCGGCCGACCCAGGTTCGATTCCCAACATCCCAACACTGCCAGGAGTAATTCCTGAGTGCAGAGCCAGGAGTAACCCCTGAGCACCCGGACGACCCGGTTCGATTCCCAACATCTCAAGCACTGCCAGGAGTAATTTCTGAGTGCAGAGCCAGGAGTAACCCCTGAGCACCCGGCCGAACTGGGTTCGATTCCCAACATCCCAACACTGCCAGGAGTAATTCCTGAGTGCAGAGCCAGGAGTAACCCGCCAGGAGTAACCCCTGAGCACCCGGCCGACCCCTGTTCGATTCCCAACATCCCAAGCACTGCCAGGAGTAATTTCTGAGTGCAGAGCCAGGAGTAACCCCTGAGCATCGCTAGGTGTGACCCAAAAAGCAAAAAGGCTAGAACAGAGAGCCTGAGGCTGGTAGACTGGAGTGTGTGACTTCCCAGGAGAACACACCTCACATTCTCTTGACTCTGGTGAGGTTAAAACCGAAGCTCAGAGCCTTTTTTGCACTGATGAGAACCCAGGCCTGTGGTTGGATGGTACTAGCCAGTGTAGACTGTGCAGTGTAGACCGTGCAGTGTAGAATTCTTCTCCACCTGCCAGGGCTTCTGGGAGGTCTGGGGGACTCGGCAGGGCTATGCAAACATCCTCCCCAGAAGGCTGGTTCCCACGGTCTGATGCCAGCTGAGACCCACAGGATATGCATTCTGGCCACATGCCCCCACTGCTGTGGGCCTAGCTGCAGCCACTGCGCAGTGGAAGGCCACAGAGACACAGAGGAAGACCTTAGGTCAAGGGACAGCATGGGCGTGAGGTGATGGGACTCTGTTTTTTTTTGTTGTTGTTGTTTGTTTTGCTGGTCACACCCAGCGATGCTCAAGGGTTACTCCTGACTCTGCACTTAGGAATTACTCTTGGCGATGCTTGGGGGACCCTATTCCCATTCCCATGCTGGGAATCGAATTCAGGTCAGCCGCGTGCAAGGCAAGCGCCCTACCCGCTGTGCTATCACTTCAGCCCCAAAGTGATGGAGCGTTGAACAGGGCGTCTGGAACCCAAGCCCCAGATTTTGGCTGGTAGAGGACTGGGGGTTGGGGGACCAGAAGCCCCTCCAGGTGCAGGCAAGAGGGGCACCTCAGCTCGGCGGTTCTAAGACCCACTTTCTCTCAGGCTGCCCTGCCACGGGGCATCACACAGTGCCCATTACATGCCTGAGGACAGAGGCAGGTCACAGAGAGGGTCTGGTCAAGAGGGACTGGCACCTCGGCCTCCTTCCTTCCTAGGAAAGTGGCGAGTGGGGCAGAGGGCAGAGCACCAGGGCTGTCTCCCTGCTCCCAGCCTCCCCTGTGACCTGGGGGATCCAGGCACTATTGGGGTGGCGCCCAGCAACACATGTTGAGAACAGGGACAGGGAACACACATGCCGGCAGGTCTTGGAGCCAGCGGCCAACGAGGCTCTCCAGGAAGTGCTCCAGAGCCGGTTCTTAGAATCTTAAGATGGGTCCGTGAATGGAGCGTCAGCTTCCCCAAAGCCACAACGATTGCCCGTCTGCTCGCTGCCCAGTACTCAGCCCTCGGCCACCGTCCGCCACTTGGTGGGTGCCCGAGTCCCAGCTGAGGTGAGTCTCACCACCCTCTCTCAGCCTGAATCCCCTGTGGCCACCAAGCCTCCCCCAAGCCTTACACTGCTCCCCGCAATGCCGGCTTCCTCTCTCCTGCTCCCGTCTATGGGACCCCTTTCCCTCCGCCCATGTCTGGGGCCCTAGAACAGTGCCTGGTTGGCAGGAAGGGCTCAGAGGCCGGCACAGGGATTGGAGCCTTTTCTGAGCTTCAACTTTCTCCTTCATCTGCAGAATCAGAACGTTGGCCTTGCCCGTGTGCAGGCTGGCTGCGGGCCCAGGGGGCGGGGGCAGGTCGCGGGGCAGTAGCCAGGCAGGGGGGCTTCTGGGGGCACTTCTTCCTGGGCAGAAAGGAGCGTATGAGGAAGTGGGGCGCTTCCCTCCCCAACCTCCTTGTCTGTCCCGGGCTCAGCACCCCAGGGGCGATGTCTGCAGGGGGGCGTGTGCAACGCCCCTGCTGTCGGGTTGGGGGGTGCTGCCGATGGGGGGGATGCTGGGGCTCCCCTCCCGAGGACCACTTACCCATGGCCAGGGAGATTCCAGTGCAGGCCGGGGGCTCCTGGGGGAACAGGCTAGCATTCCTGGGCCGCGCCGGGTCCCTGCTGCGGCACCAAACAAACTTTAGGGCCGGCCTCTGCCTCCGCCCAGCGGCCAGCAGCGCCACGTCCTCCGCCAGCCCCGGCCCTGGGGGCCTGGAGGCGGGGCAGAGGGACCCGGGACCGCCCCCTGCCTGGCCCCGTCCTGGATTGGGTCTTCCCCCCCTAGCCGTCTAGGGCCCGGAGGTAGGACAGAGGGACCTGGGGACCGCCCCCTGCCTGGCCCCGTCCTGGCTGGGGGTCTCCACCAGCAGCCTTTCCGGGGGTCTCCCCTTCCGTTTAGAAACTCCGTTTAGGGACTCCAGTCCGGATTGTGCACACAGCAGGCACCGTCAGAATCCGCTTCCTTGATGCATCCCTGAGCGGGGCCACTGTTTATTCCCGCGCGCGAGGCCTCAGGTGCTGGCTGGGAGAACAGCGCCTGCAGTTCTTCACCTGTGCAGTTCACTGGCCAAGGGAGGAAGAAGACAGATTAAAAAAAAAAGAAAAAAGACGAAGGCGCAAGAAATAGTACAGTGAGGGACAGGAGCGATAGTGCAGCGGGGAGGGAGTTTGCCTTGCATGCGGCCAACCTGGGTTCGAATCCCGGCATCCCAAATGGTCCCCCTGAGCACAGCCAGGAGTAATTCCTGAGTGCAGAGCCAGGAGTAACCCCTGAGCATTGCTGGGCGTGACCCAAAAAGCAAACATAAATAAATAAAGTGGTTTGGGGCTGGAGCGATAGCATAGCGAGCAGGGAGGGTGTTTGCTCTGCAAGCCGCTGACCCGGGGTTCGATTCCCAGCATCCCATATGATCCCCTTAGCACCACCAGGAGTAATTTCTGAGTTCAGAACCAGGAGCAACCCCTGTGCATTGCCGGGTGTGACCCAAAAAGAAAAAAAAAAAGAAATAGTACAGGGAGCGGGGAAGGCTCTCACGTTTGATCCAGGCACCACCGCCAGGGATGATCCCTGAGCACAGAGCCAGGAGTCCGACATGAGCACCACCTGGTATGCCCGCCTTCCCCCCCAAAAAAGAAAAAATGACCAAAAGTCAGATGAGTTGAAGAAACAAAAGTAAGTGGGGCCAGGGAGGCAGAGTGAAGGAAGTGATGGTGCAGGCAGGTCCGAGGGCCTTTCCCTGGGTCTAGACCGGGCCTGAGGGGGGAGGAGGAGGGTGGGCTGGGCTGAATTTACAGACAGGAGCGGGTGGGGTGGCCGAGGGGGTCTGCAGAAGAACAGAGGGGCAGCTGGGAGAGTGTAGACAGGGCAGCCTTGGGAAGTCTGGACCATGAATTTTATTGCAGGGATGAGGGGTGTAGTGGGGGTGGGTTGGGGGATGGTTCCTAATTGGTTACAGGGAGCAAGGAGCAAGGGTGGGAGCAGTCAGCACCTGGCTGTTGAGAAGTGAGCCCTGAAGATGCTGTGGATAAGGATGAGGGGGAGCAGAGCCCCCTGAGGACAGCAGCCCAGAGGGGGAGTCGCTCGGGGAGGGGAAGCCCAGCTCCCAGCTCTGCCCTGGCGGCACGCGTGAAGCTGCTCATCAGGCAGCCTTGTGGGGAAAGGTTGACAATTCGACGGAGAGTCCAGGCTGGGGACACGGTTATTTCTCACTCTAGACCAACCAGCCCAGAGTCTCAGTCGAGCAGAGGCACGAATTTGATCTTCCAAACCCATCCTCGCGGATACCTTTGCGCCTCTGTTAGCAGGCCCCGCAGGACCAGGCCACAGACACGGCAGAGGCAAGACCTCCCCGGATGGGGTCCTCGTGTAATCCTGGGAACTGTCCGAGCCAGGGTGGCAGACTGAAAACACAGCCCCAACACCAGCTGGCCCCCGCCCTAAGCTCCAGACAGACCGCTGTGACCTGTAGGATGTCCAGGTAGAGTGGTACCCTGAGACATCTCAGGTGGGGTTCCCAGGACTGTCCTGCCCAGATTTCCGAGCCTCCTTGTAAGGAAGCTCAGTGCAGACAGGGAGGACCACTCAAAGCTTCATGTTTCAGCTTGGAAGCTGGTCTCACATGCTGAGGGAAAAGGCAGCTCAGATAGAGAAGCGGCCATCAAGTAAAGGATGCTTGGAGGGCCCGCTAGAAGGGGAGATGCGTGTTGAAAGTAGATAATAGACCGAGCATGACGGCCACTTAGTACCTATATTGCAAACCACAATACCCAAAAGGGGGGGGGGGGAGAGAGAGAGAGAGAGAGAGAGAGAGAGTAAAAGGGAATATACCTGCCACAGAGGCGGGGGTGGGGGTGGGGGGTGGGGGATGGGGGGGTGGGAGGAATACTGGGAATGTTGGTGGTGGAGAATGGGCACTGGTGGAGGGATGGGTACTCGATTATTGTATGACTGAAACGTAAGCACAAAAGTTTGTAAGTCTGTAACTGTACCTCACGGTGATTCACTAAAAAAATTTTAAAAAAATAAAATAAAATGTTATTGACTAAAAAAAAAAAAGCTTCATGATGGCCTCGCCTGCAGGAACCCCACCCACCACCACTGGCTCCCATGAGAGCCTCCAGCCCCTGCCGGCGCCCAGACATTAGCATCTTCCAGCTGAGACCCCAGCACTGTGGAGCAGAGACTAACTGATCATCTCTTATGTTCCCTCTTCAGATTCTTGACCCGCAATTTCCCTGAGTACCATTCAACAGGGGCAACGTTGAGAAGAAAATTGCTCTGTGGTAATAATAACTAAGAACAGAGCTTACGCCCCTGAGAGACCGCGAGAGGCTGTGATTGAAGCACTGTGCGTGGATTAGTTTAGTTCACCTTTGCACCTGCCTGATGAGAACAGGGACTCTTGCCTCTCCCCTCGGGGTCCGGGCCAAGACACCAAAGTCAAGGGCAGTGCCGGGACTTGCTTGCATAATCAACAAATAAGGCAAATAGTCTGGTGTTCAAGGACACACGTTGGTCTAGATTGCTGAGCCGAGTCAAGCCCAGGGTAGCGGGAATCAGGCTCAGACCCGCTCGGATCTTCTGCCTTCTGGTGTGGAGAAGAATCCAAGGAGGAGACTGTCTGTCATTGTCATGAGACGACTCCTCCTCCACCTGGATATTGGAATGTCTGGAACTGTCACCAGGAGAACTGGCCCAGCATGTCCAGGGCGCTTCTACCCACAGGAGCTGAGGATGGGAAGAATAGGAAGTGTCTCTGTCTCTGTGTCTGTCTCTGTCTCTCTCCTCTCTCTCTTTCTGTCTCTCTCTGTCTCTTTCCTCTCTCCTCTCTCTGTGTCTCTCTGTCTGTCTCTTTCTCTGTCTCTCTGTCTCTCTCCTGTCCTCTCCTCTCTGCCTCTGTCTTTTCTCTTTCTCTCCTCTCTCCATCTGTCTCTCCTCTCCTCGCTCTGTCTCTCTCTCCTGTCTTTCTCCTCTCTTTCTCTCTTTGTCTCTCTCTCACCTCTATCTCTCCTCTCTCCTCTCTTTCTTTCTCTCTCCTCTCTCTGTCTGTTTCTCTCCTCTCTCTGTCTCTGTCTCTTTCTCTGTCTCACTCCTCTCCTCTCTCTCTGTCTCTCCTCTTTCTCTCCTCTCTCTCTGTGTCTCTATCTCTGTGTTTCTGTCTCTCCTCTCTTTCTTTCTCTCTCTGTCTCTCACACCTCTCTCTGTCTCTCCTCTCTCTCTTTCTCTCTCTCCTCTCTCTTTCTCTCTCCTCCCTCCTTCTCTCCCCACCCCTCCATCTCCATGGCTTGCTTTAATCATGAGGATGCTTGCTGACTTGTCTTCTAATCCCCTTTTTATATGGTGCCCTAAGCAAGAAAGAAACTGGGTTATTTAAGCCTAGTTTCCAAAGTGGCTTTCTTAGGCTGGGGCTCTTGTGGTAGAGTGTATGCAGGCTTTGCATGGGTGGGGTCCTGGGTTCAAACCCCAGCTCAGGCATTTAAACATTTTTTTAAAACTTTTTAAGAAGCCTTTCCTTGACGTTGAACAGGCCCCAGGGAACGGTTTCTAAGCAGGATGCAGTTCCGTGTGGGGCTGTTCTTGCTCATCCTTTCCCGTTCTCTCTCCTTCCCTCTGATGAAGACTCTGGTGAGTGGCTCCAGGGAGGGACCCCTGGCAGGTGGTGAGGGCAGGACCCCGAGAGGAGCTGAGACCCTCCCTTCAGCAGCCCATTCAGTGCTCCTCCTCATTCATTAGCCAAGCAAACAGAAGGAGCCTGGGACAGTGCCTGAGGGGAAGTGATCACAGGGATACCTTGAACTCTCCAAACTGGACTTTCCCGGGGCTGGAGCAATAGCACAGTGGGTAGGGCATTTGCCTTGCACGTGGCCGACCCGGGTTCGATTCCCAGCATCCCATATGGTTCCCCGAGCACCGCCAGGAGTGATTCCTGAGTGCAGAGCCAGGAGGAACCCCTGTGCATCGCCTGGTGGGACCCAAAAAGAAAAAAATAAATAAACAAACTGGATTTTCCACGCTAGGGAGAGAATCCAAGTGGCAGAGTATGTGCCTTGTATGTTGTAGATCCTCGAATTTGATCCCTGGCACCGCATACACTTGTCCCGCATAGCTGTGGTGACCCCCAAAATGAAAAGAGTGCTAGATATGCACCCCCCCATTGAAAAGAGTCATAATCTACCTCCTCTGAGACATCAAGGAGGACTGAGCCCCAAAGGATGTCTAAGTAGGTCTAAGCAACACACTTGGGATGGGTGGGGCGGGAAGTAGGTGCAAAGGCCCTGTGACAAGGAGCTGTGAAGAATGATAAAGTTAGACAAGGCAAACATATTTGTAGCTCAGAGAGCAGAGTTGCTTGGCAAGTTATGAGTCTAGAAAAGGGCCCAGGGGCCCAGGGACCTAGAGAACCAGGGTCCTATATGGTACAGGGCGGGGGTGGGAAGGGAAGGAACTCTCTCCTAAATACTTTAGGGAGTATTGAAAGATTTTTTAAACTCACTTTCTTTTTTCTTTTTGGCTTTTTTGGGTCACACCCGGTGGCACCCAAGGGTTATTCCTGGCTCTGCACTCAGGAATTACTCCTGGCAGTGCTCAGAGGACCATATGAGATGCTGGGGATCGAACCTATGGGAAGCCCTCTCATAGACCCTAGCCGTGGTTCCCATGTTAGGAACTGTTTGGGACAGACATTGGTGACAGTCTCCCAGGGCTTCCTGACCTCAGTGGATGCCTGATCTATAGCAAATAACATCAGGCTGGCAGCTATCTTATCTGGCCTTATCTATAGTGACCTCCAGGATGCATCTACTGCCCTAAGACCCTTTGATATACAAATGTAAAGCTCAGGATGCACCTACTGCCATAAGACCCTTTGATGTACAAACATTTACCTTGAATGTTAGGTAAAGCTCTTGTTGCTGACCTTACCATGTATGGTTATATTGCTTCTGCTCTGACTGGGCTGCCCCAGACCCTATATAACCAGCCTGTATCCCTCAATAAAGCCTGTCCCTTTTTCTCTCTGTTTCTAAACTGTACTCTGTTTCTTGTGTCTTGTGTTCATTCGGTTGGTCCTTCCCTGCACCTACGGATCCTAGGGCCACCTCCGCGGGCCGGAGAGTGGTTTTGCGGGCCCCCACGGAACTAACCCAAGTCGGCCACGTGCAAGGCAAACGCCCTCCCTGCTGTATTATTGCTGCAGCCCCTTTAAACTTCCTTTCAACCCTAGAAATTAGTGTGGCTACACCATAGCAAAACCGCCCCTGGTGACTAAGTTTGCACAGTGAGTTTTCCAAAGGCGGGTTCAGACAGATGACGGAGACTTAGACGCTAGCAGAGGCGTTAACCAAAGTCACAATCTCGGAAGGTGGACACCGGAAGTAGAAAGGGTTCCAGGTGAGCACTGAGCAGTGGCAGCTGACCAAGGTGGCTGGAAAGCACATCAGAGCATGCAAGGGGCTGACGCTGGAACAGGGGCCCTCACCCGCGTGCCAGTGCCCTTCGGGGTGCCGGGGGTGGAGGGCGGCAGTTGTGGCTCCCAAAGGGCCTTTCTTCAGCTCCCAATAGGGACCCACAAGCAGGAAAGCAAAACGTACACATGAAGAGTGTGCTGAGCAGAGGCGCCTTCCACCTCACAAGCTCCTCCCAGCCGGGGAATTATCCAAACCCCAGTTTGCAGAAGAAATAAAGCAGAGACAGGTTCAAGGATTTGCTCTTCCTCCATCAGAAACAGCACCGTAAACCACAGTGCAAAAACTTACCTAAAAAAAAAAAAAAAAACCTGCCTCTCACAACTTTGTAACTGTATCTCACAGTGATTCAATCAAACATTTTTGAAGAAGGGGGGCGGGGTACAAACCTGCATCCCATAACTTTGTAACTGTGGAAGTATCTCATTGTGATTCATCTACAAACAAAAAAAAAATTTAATGGAAAAAAAATAGCTACCTCTCATAGAAGCAGACTGGTGGGTGGGAGGTAAGCCGGGTCAGGGGGCATTGGTGGAAGGAAGTGGACGCTGGTGACCAGATTGGTGTTGAAACAGTGTATGCCTGAAACCCAATCATGAATAACTTGGTATTTTCACTGTGATCAAGTTTTTTTAAAAAATTGCTCTTCTTCAAACAAGCCGAGCCTATTCCTGCCCCAGGACCTTTGCACTTGCTACAACCGTCCCCCCTCCAACCCCCACCAGGGATCTACTCTATCCCAGGACTCTATCTCTATTTCATTGAAGTCCTGTCTCCTTACTGACAGGTGTGCCACTAGCCCCTGCTCTACCTCTCTCTGCTCTACGGCCCCTAAGGGGCCATCCAGATGAGCAAGCTTTCAGGGTAGAGAGAGGAAACTCTTCAGAGCTATCTCAGACCCACTTCCATTTTCTTCATAGCAGCTGGGTCACCTGCATATTATCTCACGTGCCTAGTTTTATGTGTTACTACTTGGAAGCGTGCAAACTCCAGGAAGTCAGGAGTTCCACATATGTTGTCCAATGCTGTGTGCCAGGCCCTGGCCTCGGGCCTGGAATATAGGAGCATGTGTTGGATGAGTTCATGAATAAAGGGATACGTGAGCATCAGGTGCTGATGGACAGGAAGTGAGGAGGAGCCTCGAGGTCTTCCTTAGGGACTGCTTAGGCTCAGGAAGACTAGAACTGAGGGGCCAGAGTGTATAGTGGGCAAGGTGCTTGTCTTGCATGTGGCTGACCTGGGTTCGATCCCCGACATCCCATACAGTCCCCTGAGCACCGGCAGGAGTCGTTCCTGAGCCCAGAGCCAGGAGTAAACCCTGAGCAGAGCATTGCCAGGTGTGGCCCCAAACCCCAAAGGCTGAAGTGGAAGTCCAGGACCCCTATCCTCTGCAGCCAGAAGCGGAGAACTCCAAGGGGCATTCCTCGGATGGTCGCCCCTGCAGGGGAGCACCCTCCTTCCAGCAGGAAGAGTCCTTGGGATGAGGCCAAGCACCCACTGCTGCTTGCTCAACGCCCACCTCCACCTCTCTCCAGTTCCTGCAGCTGCCTCTCTAGCCCTACCTGGCCCCTATGCACCGCACCACACCACAGGTGCAGGGAGGAGCCACTGGGGAGAGTCAGGGAGGGTAAATTTGCAAGGAGTAAGTTGCCATTTGACGGGAGCATAAATAGACCCGAGACGTAGAGGGCAAGTCTTAGAGGGAAGTTTAGTGGATGCAGCAAATCTTAGCTCCCTTCTCCAACTACCCAGAAACATCACTGTCACTGTCACTGTCACCCCGTTGCTCATTGATTTGCTCCAGCGGGCCCAGTAACATTGTGAGACTTGTTACTGTGTTTGGCCCAGTAACATTGTGAGACTTGTTACTGTATTTGGCATATCGAATAAGTCATGGGGAACTTGCCAGCCACCCAGAGGTTTGCCTTGCAAGCGGCGGACCTGGCCAACCGAGGTTCTATTCCTCCACCCCTCTCTGGGAGCCCGGCAAGCTACTGAGAGTATCTGGCCCACACGGCAAAGCCTGGCAAGCTCCCTGTGACGTATTCGATGTGCCAAACACAGTAACAAGTGTCACAATGGAGACGTTACTGGGCCCGCTCGAGCAAATCGATGATCAACGGGAGGGCCTTTACCTTTTTACCTTTTACCCTCTTAAACACTCAGGGAAGTTGCAAAGATGAACAAATACACTGGTGGAGGGATGGGTGTTTGATCATTGTACAATTGAAACCCAAGCACAAAAATTTGTAAATCTACAACTGTACCTCATGGTGTTTCACTAACAAAAATAAAAAAAAAATGTAAATGATGGAGAATGGGCACTGGTGGAGGGATGGGTACTGGATCATTGTATAACTGAAACCCAAGCACAAAAATTTGTAAGTCTACAACTGTACCTCATGGTGTTTCACTAATAAAAATATTTAAAAAACTAAGATGAATGGATACGGCTGCAGGAAGCTTGCAAGAGAACTTTTAGCCTGTGGCGGGAGGGGGAGGGGAGTGGCAGAGAGGGCAAACAAAGCACAGCTGGGAACTAAAGTGAGGCAACAAGGAACATTCACCAGAATGTACTAGGGCTCTATGTACTGATAACGGGAAAACTGCCCACTAGGAATTGCCTAAGGGAGGAAAGTCGGTGGAGAGGGGAGGCACACCTCCCTCTCAACACCTCACTCTCATTCGCCCTGAGGAAAACGAGTCAGGAAAGGGGAGTTGCTGCAAGCACAGGTTTCCCCAGCTATGAGAAAGCGGAACACTCCTATTTGGTATGAGTTGTCAGGTTATTGGGAGGTGGTGTGTGCGTGCGTGCGTGCGTGTGTGTGTGTGTGTGTGTGTGTGTGTGTATGGAATCTTACCATTATAGGATTTTAAAAAGACCTAACAAATCGTCTCTAAGAGGAAAGTTCTACTTTCAGAGTGCCAGAAGCCTGTGGTGTGTGTGTGTACATATATATATATATATATACATATATATACACATATATATGTACACACAAAGAAACGGTATCAAGAGGGGTGGCGTCCACTGATGACCTGTATAGGCAATGTGATGTATGCAACTTTCTGTATTGTCAGAATCTGTTAGAGCCTGTCTTCTCTTTGCAATGCAAAAAAGAAAAAAGGTACAGACAGTAAAAGTTTGTTTGCCAATCACTTGCAACTTAAGTCTGGGAAGCTTGGGAAGCTACCTCCTCTGCTCCACCTTCCCTGCAGTCTCGCGGCTTCCAACACCCTCTGGGTCTGAATTATCCGTCCCCTCCCCCACTCTCAGCCCCGACGTAAAGTGATTCTCATCATTTGACCTAGCTCCTGCAGAATTCACTCGACAACCGTAACTATTGCTCTTCCAAGCCAAAGGCCGAGGGTTTACGTCTGTCTGCTACATTCGGCTCTGAGCAGGGGGAATGAGAAGTCCCATAAAGAGAGCCCCGGGGAGGGCTGGGGAGCTTGCCCCACGGGGGAGCTTCTGAAAAGAGGAGAGATGCAGAAAACTCTCAAGAGGCACCAAGGTGCTCCAGGAAGAGCCGAAAGGCGGGATCCCCGGGGCCGAGAGTCGGAGCGCGCGAGGGCTTCTGGGGAGAAGTGGGAGGGGTTGTTTTTCCGAGAAAGCCCGAGGGTTTACGAAGAGAGCCGAAGATCAGGGGGCGGGGCCCCACGAGCCTTTCCGAGCGCGGGGGCGGGGCCTCACGAGCCTTTCCGAGCGCGGGGGCGGGACCTCACGAGCCTTCTCTGGCGTGGGGGGCGGGGCCTTATAAGTTCTTTCGAGCGTGGGGGCGGGGCCTCACGCGCCTTTCCGAGCATGGGGGCGGGGCCTCACGAGCCATCCCGAGCGCGGGGAGGCGGGGCCGCTCGCACGGGGCGGAAGTGCCGAGGGGGCCCGAAAGTTTCCGGACGGGGCCGAAGCCGCGCCGACGGCTTCCGGAGAGAGCCGAGAGGCCCCGAGCGGCGGCGCCCGAGCGCAGTCATGGCGGCGGCCGGGAGCAGCGAGGAGCCGGCGCTGGAGGCCGGGGCGCTGGCCGCAGCCCGGGAGCGCAGCGACCGCTTCTTGAGCGGCCTGGAGCTGGTGAAGCAGGGCGCCGAGGCGCGCGTCTTCCGCGGCCGCTTCCTGGGCCGCGCGGCCGTGGTCAAGCACCGCTTCCCGAAGGGCTACCGGCACCCGGCGCTGGAGGCGCGGCTCGGCCGCCGGCGCACCGTGCAGGAGGCCCGGGCCCTGCTCCGCTGCCGCCGCGTAGGTAGGCCGGCCGGGGTGTGGGCCCGCTCCGACTTCTCTCGTGGCTTCTCGTTAGAAAGTGACATGCATGCATGCTCGCATGCATGCGTTCATTCATTCATTCATCCATCGGGGCAGGGGTGCACCGCGCGCCGTGCTCCTGGCGCGGTGCTCGGGGACCTCTCCTGGCGGCCCGCCCTCCCTCTTTCTGGCATCATGGTTTGCACTCTAGGCGCGGAGAGTAGCCACCAAGAGGTTATGCTTGTCCCTTTACCGCCTTCCAGCGTCCAGTTCTTGTCTCATTGTCACAGGGGTCCCTTCTCAGTGCCCTCCCCGCCACCACGTGTGGCCCAGACCTCCTGGCCCTTGTTTTTACTATCCTTGGGGATCAGTTTCATAGCAAGGTTTTTTTTATTTATTTTTTTTAAATATATCGCACAAATGAGTGCAGTCGGTCTATGTCTGTCCCTCTCCCTCTCCCTCTTGTTTGCTCTGCATGACTGAGTTCAGTTAAAGCAGGGATCTCAGCTGCTGTGTTTCCTGCTATTTTCCCCACTTTTGTGCCCTCCGGAACCAGAAAAGTGGCCTATGTTGAATTGGAGGAGGAGGAGGAGGACATGGGACTTGGAGAGGCTAATATGATGCTGTGTAAGGAAAGCTGTTGGGATTCGAACCCAGCCCTCATTGCCGGCAGGAGAGAGCTGAGCCAACACACAGCTCGGCTCCCTGGAGATTGTAACAACCTGGGTCACAGTCACTCTTCTGCCTCTTTGCTTCTTATGATGATAAAGTCTAAGAAAGGAAGAGGGAACTTTGGCATTACAAACTGGCTGGCTCAGGCTTTAAAAACTTGTGTTTAAAAACTTGTGTTAAAAACATGCTGAAAGTAGACTATAGACCAAACATGACTGCCACTCAATGCCTCTTTTGCAAACCACAACACCCAAAAGGAGAGAGAACAAAAGGGAATGCCCTGCCATAGAGGATGGGGGGGATGCTGGGACCCGAGGTGGTGGAGGATGGGCGCTGGTGGAGGGATGGGTACTTGATCATCGTATAACTGAAACCCAAGCACAAAAATTTGTAAGTCTATAACTGTACCTCATGGTGTTTCACTAATAAAAAAAAATAAATTAAAAAAAAAAACTTGTGTTTCAGACTGGAGCAATAGTACAGCGGGGAGGGTGTTTGCCTTGCACGCGGCCAACCCGGGTTCGATTCCCAGCATCCCATATGGTCCCCAGAGCACCACCAGGAGTAATTCCTGAGTGCAAAGCCAGGAGGAACCCCTGAGCATCGCCGGGTGGGACCCAAAAAGCAAAATAAATAAATAAAACAAAACTTGTGTGTTTGATTGCAGGAATATCCGCCCCGGTTGTCTTTTTTGTGGACTACGCTTCGAATTGCTTATACATGGAAGAAATTGAAGACTCTGTGACGGTTCGAGATTACATTGAGTCCACGATGGAGGCGGAAAACACTCCCCAGAGCCTCTTGGGTTTAGCCCAGACCATCGGGCAGGTGTTGGCGCGGATGCACGACGAGGACCTGATCCACGGCGACCTCACGACCTCCAACATGCTCCTGACACGCCCCCTGGACCCGCCGCCGCGCATCGTGCTCATCGACTTCGGGCTGAGCTTCGTGTCGGCGCTTCCCGAGGACAAGGGGGTCGACCTCTACGTTCTGGAGAAGGCTTTCCTCAGCACCCACCCCAACACCGAGACTCTCTTCGAAGCCTTCCTGAAGAGCTACGCCGCCGCCTCCAAGAAGTCCCAGCCCGTGCTGAAGAAATTAGACGAAGTGCGCCTGAGAGGACGGAAGAGGTCCATGGTCGGGTAGGAGAACGGGCGCGGCCGCCACGCACGGGGGACACCGCCAGGCACCGGCCAGTGGCTTCCGGGGAATGCCCCGCGGATGAGGATGGACCGCAATAAAGGGGTGGCGATGTGTTCCGAGGTGTCTGCGATCGTGCTTGGGTGGCACATTGTCTGCCGTGGCCCTTCTCAGGTCCTCGCCATGGACAGAGACCTGTTGCGGGCAGGGGTTTAGGATTACAGCAGATGCGGGACAGACTGCCTTTGTGACGGTGACCTGCGACACTCAGGACCCACCTCCTGAGCACTTGCTTCAGTTCAAGTCTGGGGACGAGGACGCAGTCTCAGTTGGGACAGCAGTGCTTTACCTGTGCCCTGGCATTTGGGGGGGCATCATTGCTATTGAAACTAAGAGAACGGGGTGCAACCAGTATGTAGAAAAGGAAATAGAGTGCCAGGGAGATGGTGCCAGGGGCGAAGTGAAGGCTTTGCATGCCCGAACCCCGAACCCGGGTTTAGTCCTGGCCCCTCTGATCCTCCCCCCTCCACCCCCCCATTCCCCAGTACCTCAGGGAGCAACCCAGGAACATTGCACAGGGAGTAGACCCTGAGCATGGCCAGGTGGGGGCTCAAAATGATACTGTAATGTATTTCACATGGTAGTTACCGTTGATGAAACTTGGATATCTGTCTAGACAAGGGAATGTATATGTTTTGACCATATACATTCAAGGGGGCAGGGTGTGTCCGAGGACCATGGGGGAGGAAAAAGTTGACAAATGATGCTTAAGTTCAGTTTCTCCTAAAAAGAAAAAAGGAAAAAAAAAGAAGAATAAGAAGCAGGCCCAGCTTTTAGGCGACTGTAACTTGTAACTTCCACACTTGATATAAAACTACATTATTTTTTATTGCTCTATTTTTATGGTAAGCAAATTAACTGATTGGTACCAAGTTATTTATGGGGTAAAAAGGGTTTACTCCTGCACTCAGGGATCACTCCTGGCTGTGCTCGGGGCACCGTATGGGGTGCCAGGGATGGAATTCAGGTCTTGCCATGTGTGCAAGGCAAATGTCCTACCCCCTAGACTATCACTCCAGCCAACTCAGGATAATTTAGATGGAAAGTGCTGTTGGTTGGCTCCTGGCTAGAGGAGCTGCCCTGCAGGCGGAGTCTCTGGCATGGGAGAGTGCCCACCTTGTGCCCTGCACCTGCTAGAGTCCCAGGAGTGAACGAGACCTTCAGGGGAACTGTGGTAGAGCACTGGTCATTCCTTGACATCAGCCTCTCTGTCCAAGAGACTCTATATTGGTCTGAAACGCTTCTCGGGAGATCATCTTCATTTTATAGCTAGAGATTCAGCCTCCAAAAGGGAAGAACTGGGGCTGGAGCAATAGCACAGCGGGTAGGGCCTTTGCCTTGCACGCGGCAGACCCGGGTTCGATTCCCAGCATCCCATATGGTCCCCTGAGCACTGCCAGGGGTAATTCCTGAGTGCAGAGCCAGGAGTAACCCCTGTGCATCGCCGGGTGTGACCCCCAAAAAAAGGGGAAAAAAAAGGGAAGAACTGACCTCTGAGGTCACCAGAAGGGAGGGATGCTGAGAGGTCAGCTCTGAAGCCCACATCGGCTTTCCTGGTCCTCGAAGAAATGAGGCACTGGCTGGGATCTGTCTGTATTTACGGGCATTCTGTAACGCAGGGCTCTGAAGAGCCAAGGAGTTGGCCCCAAGGTTTGCAATAAAGCAGCAACACTCAGGCTCAGTCTGTGTCCTCGTGTCTCGTAAGGCCGAGATCGGGCCGGCATCGCCGCGTAGAGCCAGAGAGGTGAATGAAGCCTGCGTGCACACATTCAGTCGGCGAGCGTCCGGTGCTCATCGTGTGCCAGGTGCAGTACCCACAGGCCAGAGCAGCACCCACAATCCTCCGGGGGCGCGGGGGGCACTGCAGACGGGCATGGGGCTGGAGAGGCCACTAAGATCCTGAGACTAGGGACAGGGTTGGGGGCACATCTTCGGGAAGCCGTCACTGCTGCCAGCACGTGAAGGGGCACCCGAAATCTTGGAAGTGTGGGGGGACAGGGGCGTGTCTGAGGCAGGAGCGAGCTGGTGAGGGATGAGGTGTGGCCGAGGGGCCAGCTGGGGCGGCCAGTGTGCAGTGGGCAGGGAGGGAGCACAGAAATGAGAGCCAGAGTGGGGGAAGTCTAGGTTCGGCTCGGAGCTTACTGGGACTCGGGGTTCGGAACAGGGAGATTCCTGCCTTGTGGCCTTGTGGTGGTTTTTTTTTTTTTTTTTTTGAGCATAAAAATAAAGTCTTGGGGCTGGAGAGATAGCACAGCGGGTAGGGCGTTTGCCTTGCATGCCGCCGACCCGGGTTCGATTCCCAGCATCCCATATGGTCCCCTGAGCACCGCCAGGAGTAACTCCTGAGTGCAGAGCCAGGAGTAACCCCTGTGCATCTCTGGGTGTGACCAAAAAGCAAAAATAGTAATAATAATAAAGTATTTTCAGTTATTACCCACCAATAAGAGAAAGTTCGGCTCACAGTTTTAGCTCTTGACACAAAAGTGAACCAGGAGGCAAATTCACATCCATCAGATACAACTAATGGAACAACTTTTTAAACTTGAGGCTATCTTGAAAGCTTGCAGCATACCGGATATTGCTATGTACTCTCTAGTGACGAGAACCTGCCTTGTGTTTTGGAACGTTTGCAGGGCTGGGAGAGACTTAACCAGGCAAGAGTGGCAGCTCAGAGTTGCTGAGCGGGGGTGTGGGGGGCCACGCTGAGTTGCTGGGTCCCCTCGTGATGTGTGTGGCCCGGTGGAAGGTGCCCAAGGGGCAGAGCAGCAGGTGGCCCCCAGCAGTGGCTGCAGACCTCGGGAGGAAGGCGTGCTGGCAGCCAGAGCGGGGTCAGGTATCCTCCCTGGCTGGCGGAGTCCTTCCGGGTCAGTGCTGGAAAGGGGAGGGGTCTCTGCCACTGGCCCCTGCCCCCCAAGCCCACGTCGGGTAGCCAGTTGGGCAGCTGTCAGCCAGCATGACTGGCAGCTCCAGATCCTCACCAGGACCTCCCAGGCGGACTCATTCCCCCCCCCCTCGTACAGACGAGGACACACTCAACCCAGTGGCCTGTCCTGTCCCCGGTCACACTTAGGTGACAGCTAGATTCCAGCGCCCACTTTTGACAGTCACAGGCTTTATGGGCAGTGCCCAAGCCCTGCTGGCAGAAACCTTGTCACCACAGTGGCCCAGAGAAGGGAAGACTCAGTTGAGGTCACAGCCAATGAGTTGAAAGAGCCAAGAAGTGTGGGGTGACACGGTTGGGTCCAGTGCAAGGAAGGACACGGGCCCACATTTTCCAGGGCATTGAGACCAGCTCTGGCCGACCCAGGGACACCAGACAGGCCCGGTCCTGGTTCCTGAGCTGAGCTGATGACCCAAAAGATGAGGATGGGGGATTTGGAATATGTTGCTTACAAAGCAAGAACCTTGGGGGCCGTAGTTGGCCAGTCTTGTTCTTCCAGCGGTAAGCTAGCTAGTCTTGGTGGCCGGAGGTTTAGGGACCCCAGGCTAGTTCCTAACCCAGACATGTGTCCACGCCCTCCCTGAGACAACCCCTGTCTTTACAAAGGCCTGCCGGACCCCACCTCCACCAGGGCACCTGGGAATCAGGTGCGGGATTCAGGACCCAGCTGGTTTCCTTTTGCAGATTGCACGTATATGGCTCCGTTTCACCACCAGAGGTCGCTAGTGACTCAACTGTGCGCAGAAGTAATTCCCTCCCTCCCTCCCTCCCTCCCGCCCTCCCGCGTTTGCTTCTTCTTTCCCTCCCCTCTTCTTCCCCCCTCCTCCCTTCTTCCTCTCCCCTTCCCTCCCCTCTCCCTCCTCCCTCCCCTTCCCTTTTCTCTTTCCATCTCCTCCCTGGAGTGTGGAGGGCTGATGGCTGAGGGTCAGTGTTAGCCAAGACCCACAGGCGGGTCCATGCGATTCCCTCCCTGCGCCCGGGGTCTGTCTGCAGGTGTCAGGCTCTGTGCTGGAGCCCGAAGAAGTCCGCTGTCGCCCTGAGCCCCCTGCATCTCTCGGGGTTTTAGATCCGGCCACCTGCCCGCTGATTTCCCTGCTCTTCCCTGTGGTCCCTCCAGTTGCCCTGACTTGGCAGTGCCAGGCAGGCTTGAGAGCCAGTTGGGGGCCACATCTCCTGGTGTTTCAGCTGCATCCCTCAGAGCCCCTCACAGCCCCTCTCCGAGCCTCAGTGCCCTCGTCGTCGGCAGGACGGACTCACGGTGCTGACCTCCCGGACCGGTGTCACGCGCTATCGGGACCAGCACCCAGGGGCAGACGCCAGGAGGTCCAGGACCGTTGCTCAGAAGCGGAGGAAGCAGGTGTGGGCGGGGGCAGGTGGTGGAGGTGGAAGTGGGCTGAGAGGCAGAGCCCAGGGGAAACCGCAGACCTGGCCCAAGTGGGTCAGCACCGGCCAGGCCTCCCCTGGAGGACTGAGCAGGGTGACATCCCCCTGCACGGAGGGCTGATGCCAGGGGTCCCCGCTGACCACACTCCCTGCAGGGGGGCCCTGGGTGAGCAGACGTGTGTGTGCACCACACGCACCCAAGAAACCAGCCTCTGGGCCTCCGCCTGCCACCGCTCTTGGCCCATGTAACAAGGCTCAGTCTAACCAGGCAGAGACACAGAGGGACAGAGGCAGGGACAGAGACACAGGCTGCTCCGAGCCAGCCCTCTCGGGGGTCAGGAACATGGGGTGCAGGGAGAGGCAGGGCGGGAGTCGCTCTGCTTCCTCCGTCTGAGCAGTCAGGGCGTTCGGGGAAGACGCTTGATCTTGGGGAAGCCGAACTGGCCCCTGGACTGTGGGGGAGGGATGGAGGAAGGCACCTTCAAGGCTGCTTCAGGGGAGACCTCGCCTCTTCCGGAAAATGTCCTCAGCCTTGGTGTGCGTTGGTCATAAGGGCAACGGGCACTCACCCAGCGGGTGTGAGGTGTGAGGCCCTGGGTTCGATTCCTGGCCCCATCCCAGAGCTGACATCAGACCCCAAGCTGAGCCCCGCAGGTGGCGTGAAGGTGAGGACACGTGGAGTGAGAGATGGATGGGCCGTGAGCCACCTCAGCCATATCGGGCCTCACAGCTCCTTGCTGGCTGTTTCCTGCACACCTGGACATCCGCAGGGCTGAGGCGGCTTTACGGGGACTCTGTCGCTGAAGCCTGGAATGTGGTGGGCAAGCCTGGAGCCCAAGAACAGAGCAGGGGCCAGA